TATCTAAGGAGCACTCACCCACTATTGAGCAAGAAAGAGATTATATGGCTAGAATTCCATACACTTCATCTATAGGTAGCCTAATGTATGACATGGTTTGCACAAGACCAGATATTGCATATGCAGTGGGAGTTGTTAGCAGGTATATGAATAATCCAGGGAAGCAGCATTATGAGGCTGTAAAGTGGATCTTCAGATACTTGAGAGGAACGACTGATTATGCTCTACATTTTAAAAGGATAGATTTTAAATTGCAAGGCTATGTTGATGCAGATATAGCAGGTTATACATATGGCAGAAAAAGTACTACCGGGTATGTATTTACTTTGGGTAATACTGCTATTAGTTGGGTCTCTAGATTGCAGAAAATAGTAGCACTTTCTACTACACAAGCTGAGTATGTTGCAATTACTGAGGCAAGTAAAGAGATGATATGGCTTCAGTCCTTTTTAGAAGAACTTGGTTTGAAATTGGGAAAAGGGACTTTGCATTTGACAATCATAGCGCTATTCATTTAGCAAAGAATCCTGTATTTCATTTGAGAACGAAACATATACAGATAAGGTACCATTTTATCAGATCAGCTTTGGAAGATGGGGTGCTGGTGCTTGAAAAGATTCCAGGAAGTGAAAATCCAGTCGATATGTTTACCAAGGCCGTCCCTGTTGATAAACTGAAGTTGTGCGCAACTTCAGTTGGACTTCTCCACGAGTAGAGAGGAGTCGCTACCGTTGCAGGAGAGACGTGATACTCTGCCCAGCGTCTTGCCCGCACGCGCCCCGCCTATCTGCCCAGCCCATTGCGCGCCCTGCTCTATCTTGTCGCCCATTCCTCCCAATTAAGGAATATATTTCCTTAACATTTTGGTTTATTATTGATTTCTTTGTTTTATTTATCATTTTTAAAATTCACTTTTAGGCAAGTTTTAGACTTTTTAGGAATTTAATATTTTTAATTTTCTTTTTAAATTTGTTATTTTTCTTAAAAGGCCAAAGACCTTGGCCTATAAATAGGCTTGTTCTCCTCGATTGTAACACACATTTGGATTATTGAAGTTGAATAGAATTAAGAGTGTTTCTCACCCCTTGTCTCGTGCAAACCCTTCTCAAATTTCGAATCCCTTTGTGTGGTTGAACTTAGGCCTTCATATTTGAACCCCTTGGAGCATGTTTGTTTGATTGGTCATCTGATAAGACTTGATTAAAGGCTAAAAAGAGTAGTTTTCATGCTTGGTTGAGAGTTAATTATGATGGAAAATGTATGTTAATGCATATAATTCATGAAAAATGTGAATATTTCGTTATTAAGGACTTAGGTAAGTAGTTAGAAGCAAATAGAGGCTAATTGATGAAAATTTGTTTATTTTGTGAGGAAAATTGGAAATTGATGACTGCAATGCGTCAGGCACATCGCACGCCAAGTATTTCCAAATTATTAGAGGGATGCGCCAGCCAATTGCTTTGGAACTTCCAGCTTCGCAATGCGCCAGCCACATTCGATGCATAGATTGTCAAAACGGGAATAACAACTCTTGACCAAATTATTGGTCCAAGATTCAGTTTGACTCCTAAAATCTCTAGAAGGAGTGGTTGCCAACTTCTCTTGAATTTCTCAAATACTTGTTACTTCCATGTCCTATAAAAGGAGCCTCCAATCACTTCTACACACCTCATTTTCCATGCTTTGCTTTTTCTTTTTAAATTATTGTCAACTTTAGCTTTTAAGTTTTAATTCTAGCTTTAAGTTTTGTTCTTCTTTTATTGTTTTTACACTTATCCCTTGCTTATTTTATCGAAATTCTAGTTACTCTAATTTGTGTTCTTCTTTCCTAATTCAATGAAAATACATTCTTTTGTTATCTTCTTTTGCTATTGCATTTATTTTAATTCCATGAGTAGCTAAATTAATTTTTCAACCCTCCTACGAATGGTTTAGTTCATCTATTTTAAATTACATCTATCAGTGAGCACGACGTATTAAGCTCTCTTTGCTTATCTTGATTAATCTAATTTATCCAGATGATTTTCTTGTTGGCCACTTCTTTAAATCACACTAGTTTGAGTTTAATTCTGAGAAGGTTAGAGTAAAATGGATCTCATCAAGGTAAAACGGGAAGTTACTTAGAAATAAGAACTAAAACAAGATCCTAGACATAGCTCTCTTACCCGTTAAACATAAGTTGGAACTTGATTTATTTAGAATTTTAGAGTTGCATAGACATATGTAAACACTAGCCTAAACTTCTAAACAACCAAAAGCGGTATGAAATAGGAGTTGAACCAGTTTGCATAAATTGAGTGTAATTACGAGCACATTTGGTAGGTGTAATTATCATTTTAGAACTAAATAGTAGTAGGGGGTTGGCCTTCTAAAGTCTATTATTTAAGTGTGTTTTTCGTGTTCAACCAATCTCACCAATTTTTATCACAATCTTGATTGCTCAATCCAACAGTTTTCAAATTCAATTTTAAAAGAAAAACTAGTCCCTGTGGAGACGAACTTGGAATATTTTCATATTATTACTTGTGACAGTGTGCACTTGCACTTACCCTCTAGCTATTAAGCTAAGATGCAACATCATCAAACTCGTGGAGTGTTTCCGACCTCGAGCATAGTGAGTCATCTGTCTACTCAAGGTAACGACTGCAAAGGTAATCCCTCTAACCTTGGCCTTTCGGGTTGAACCAACTATATGATTAGATTCAAGTGGCTTGTGGCTCGAGTAGCTCAATACGCATGGGTTGTCACGTATCATTTGGTATCAGAGCTTAAGCTTTAGACCGAGATATTGTTTATTTTCTGTCTTTAAATTTCAGTCTTGTCTTTACATTCCTTTATCCAAAAAAATCTCATAAAAAGTTCCATTGTCTTTCGTGAGCCAACTTTGATCTATCATTCTTGCAACAGAATTTTTTATTTCGAAAATTACTTTAAAGTGTCCAAAACTTGTTTGTTTGTGTTCTGCACCTCAAAAGCTTTCCAACAAACCAAGTTTCACTTTAATCCTATAGTCAAAGTTATCAACTTTTCTTCGAACCCCAGAAATTGAGAGAAACTTGCAGAGAGTACAAAACCAGAGCCAACTTTAAAAATCTATAATTTTTTGCTCAGAAGTCCAAATTGATTGAAATTAATGTCGTTTGAAAGATCTATGTGTTATCTTTCCACGGAGTTTATAATCAATAAATTTAGATCAGTGGTTTGAAAGTTATCGCTTTTTCGAAAATACTATACATTCTGGAATTCCTACTGCCGCCAAAGAAGTAGTGTCCCAACTTTGACGATTAATATCTTACTGACCTTTTTGCTAAATATAGTCAAATCAGGTACTAAATTAAAGGTCTTTGAAAGAGCTCTCCAGAGACATATAGATTGGTGCCATCCAAGGTCTGTAGCACAAGTTATCAGCGAAAGAAGAAAAGGTGTCCAAGCAGAAAACTTTCCAAAATTTGAAGCTGGACATTTTTGGAGAAAATCTTTGGGCCACCAAATCTTGTCAAAATCGATTTCTTTTTGGCAAACAATCCTAACATTGATTATATTTTTATTTAAAATTATTGTTGGATTATTTTGACCTAGTTGGACAGCCCAAAAGAAGGAGGACAGCCGCCACACCCACTGGGCCACTCGAGAGACTCCATTATGCAGCCCCAGAATTTTCTTTGAGAGAGCAGCCACCTCCAACGAAATCCAAACCTTTTGACAGCCTACACAATCTAAGTACACTTGTTGTGCTAACTTTTGCCATTGGTTGGAGCCCCATCCGAGTTGTATACATCACACACCCCTCACCCAAAGTTACCCAAATTACTGCAAAGTTCACTGTTTTGTTGATAAGTTATTTTTTGTGTGTGTTTGCACTACAAATTGGATTTGTACATCTTTTTAGTATATTTTTTACTTCATTGATTTTATTTGCATATTTCTTTCTTTGTTTAGCTTTAATTTCAATTTGCATATTGTAGTTGAGTCCATGAAACCAAGAGCATTAGGCTGAAGGTTGTCTTATCATCCTTGTTTATATCTTGCCTTATTCTTATAAATATCATTTGATATCATTATAACTATCATTTGGTATTCTTTTGAATCTTGTCTTTGGTGTCTTCTATACCATTGACCCCTAGTA